CCTAGTAGCAATGGCCTCCAACCTAATAGTGATGGCCTCCAACCTAACAGTGATGGCATCCAACCTAGTAGCAATGGTTCCTCCAACCTAATAGTGATGGCCTCCAACCAATAGTGATGGCCTCCAACCAAGTAGCAATGGCCTCCAACCTAATAGCGATGTTATTATTCATAGATGTATGGTATGGTAAGTGATGTGTTTTCTTCAGCCTGCATATATACATTGATAGAGTTTGAACAACAATGGTTGTTCGGTGTGTGTGTATAGAACTTGTATAATTCAAAGACCGCCGTCACGATGATCGAAACAAGCAAACACGAAAATGCACTACCTGTATGTTGATTTGCTCGTTCCAGTGCCCTGTGTCATTGCTGGTCAAAGCGGCCATCTGCCTGGCCCAAAAGACTCTATTTGTTGGAAACCTTGTGATTTTAACCATACTCTTGTTTATCGCTCACTCCCTCCGACCCTCATGACATCTTGATCATAGGTGGAACATCTAGTTTCGACAGGAGCATGGCTCTTCACACAGCCCCGCGGCGTTCCTTCAGCAACGCAGCCGAAAGTCACCCGCTTGGGGACCCTTCCGGCCGACCTCAAACCAAGGGGCCAATGGCGTAAGGATCCATCCAAATGTCTTCATCTGTGCTGAGATCCCCAAGACAGCAGTACCTGGGACAAAGAGGCTGGAAAAGTTGGAACAAAGGGAGCTTAGTTTGTGTGTGTACCCAATGTTGGGGCGCATTAAATATAAAAAGGACAATTGGAGCAACACGAACATGGAAGAACTCATCATGACCCACTTAACTTGTGGGTAGCGATCTGCTTTCTTGGGAGGGTAAATGCTAGGGCGGAGTGTTGACCTGTGGCAAAGAACTGTATGAGTGGAGCAGAACGCTGGCCTCAACTGCTGGGCCGAAGTAAGCTCCCTGTGTGCTCCAAGTAATACAGTGCAGTAGATTATATGTCTTCGTGTAGGACCAAGGAATCGCTATGTATTGGGGCCACCAAAGAAACGGATCTCTCTCTGTCTTACTGTTGATGCCTCTATCATCTATCTATTGAGTCTCACATGGTTGGGTCAAACCAAGCTACTTGCCAAATCAAAGGAAATCAAAGGAGTAAAGCGGCCGGATAGCATGTTGTAGACTTCAAAAATGCACATGTCTACCAAGGTATTGATTCCGATCGATTCGATGTGTCCTACCAGGGGGTCTTTGGGTGTATCCCTATAGGTCTCCTCAACTGTAGCGGGTCTGGATGTGGGCGACAGGTGTGAACATAGCTCGCCATCGCTCGAGATGAGAATCTGACACCCTTTTCCACTGAGCGGTTCTGTCCCATGATCTCGAAGGAGACAACTTCCATGTATTTGGGGAAGCCGATCAGCGAGGAAGAGATAGGAGCGGGGAAAAGGCAGGAATTTGAGTTAGTTGGGAGCAAGTTGGACATACAATATGTCCAAACACTCTCTGAAGTCTGTATTCCCAGCATGATTTTGCTCCTAGATGGTCTTTGGCCGGAATGATCGAGTCCAAGGGGCCAGTGATGCTCAAGACCACATTGCAACAAAGCGTCAAGGAGCTGACCTCGGCCACCGGCTATGGCGTAAGGGTTCTTTGTGATTCTAGTTGGAGACTTTGTCAAGTCTGGTTCTTAACTTCAGACTTTGATCTAGACTTGTTTTGAGTCCAACTCTTAGCCAATCAAAACGTCATAAAGCGTACAGTATACCTTCACAAGGAAACTTGCCAGTCATTATCTTCACTTGCTCCTCTCTCTCTGGTTAGTTCTAACCTAACTTGTTCAAGTTTCTTTGGAGCGACCTGAGTGTTTCGATCAACCACTGCGGATCCTGCCCCTGTCGGTCAGGACGAGTCGAACAGACGGAAGGCACCAAAAGGTGCCCTCACCATGCTCTGAATCCTCATGCGATGCTTCGGCACCTTACATCTGCCTTGACTGGAAGAGAAAAACACATTCTGATACATTCTGCCAAACAAGGCCCCCGCTGCACACCTCGAACAACACAAGCCCCCCTGAATGGCAAAGCTTTCCCATTTGCTCCCTTCTCAAATTATGCAAGAGTTCTTTCATACGTAGTAGCAGAATGCGGCACCATGCGCTAAACACCCGTGGTCAAAGAATGTCGAGTCAATAAGATAGTTGGTTCTCGTCAACAGACTGGACACCGCTACATCAATGCAAAACAAATCAAAACACTGCTCTTGAGAACAGTAAAGGACTTCAGAAGCCTTGTACTTACAAGATCCCCTTACAAGCTGGACTTGCTTGGTTCACTGATCTTGCTGACCTCTTCAAAACTGTCACAACAGCGCCACTTCCGCGACTTAGAATGGACACCGGGAAGTGCCGTGGTCACCACCATGAACTATATATATATACTCCCACACACACATAATATGTCATCCAAAAAATATCAACGATCATTAACTCCATCCGTGCTACAAACACATATGCATCCTCCATAATAGTCAATATGTCTCAATATCTATCGCTAGTGATTTTAGACCCCTCCTCCTCTTTCATTTAACAAACCCTGCCTCCCAGTCACGTGCCGTCCCCGTCCCACGTGTCCGTGTGCCATGCTGCTTGATGCTTGGCGCTGCTTCGGCTGCTTCCGCTTCCGCTGCTGCGGAAGCTGCCCGTGTCCACCCGGCAAAGCGGCTCGCCCGCCGACATAGCGCCCGTGTCCGCCCGACGCTCGGGCGCCGCCCGACGCATGCGCAGTCCGGGTTTGGTGGGATTGGTTGGGACTTGGTAAGGATTAAAAGGCAGAATCATCCTGAAATGACGCGTGGAACCCATTAGGAGCCTTATATATAGGCAAGTAAAAAACCTTGGGGTTGGAAGTTCTTGAACAAGGACTTGGCCTGTAGTATAATCGAGTGGTCGCTGTGCTCTTGCCATCCGGACTGGCGATACTATGTCTAGTACTATGTCTATCTATGTCTTCTGCCCAGTAGTCTTTGACAGCTGGAGCCACCAACGAACTTATAAGAAATTGGTTGAACACTTTCACCGATCTATCAACCGTGTTCAAGTGCCCTATCAGTATACCCTCCCTCCAACATGGAAGTGGACAATCCCCTGTTTGGTATGCTATGTAATGATGGTCTCTTTTGGGGGGCCATCATCCACGTCACCAACGAACTCCCGACTCTTCGTGCGGTGTGACGCTTCCAGCCTTGCCAAGGCCCCGTTGCTTGATGAAAGCCAGGATCTCTGTCGCCAAGCCAACGGAAATACCTAGGAGCTGGAGAGGGAACACCTGGAATCATGACTCTGGGTGAAAGATCTCTTTAAAATCATGCAAGAATACTGAATACTGATGTTATATAAGCTGTTTATTAAAGACTGCAAATAGCTTCCGTAGCTTGTGTAGCTTCTCTCCCTGGCCACAGAACCCGGTGATCTCCCGCCTGTTCAGTGGTTTTCAAAGAACGCCCAAACGCGGGAGCCCTCACCCCGACGACAACGTCTGGATCCATCGAAGGTCCCCAGACCCCGACCCACCGGAGATCCCCTCAAATCCAACCAAGGAACCGTTCTCATTGACATATCGTCGCACCAGTTGATTCTGCTGTATCTCTTGCGCAGTGAGATATCTGCAGCCGAGCTGGTCAAACAAATATGGTGTCTGATCAGGTCGTGTCTCAACAATCTGGCGCCCCCGAGGGTACTCAGCAAAAGAGAAACCATGTAACCACGGTTCTTTCATTGGGGGTCCCAATGAACTCCATGATGTTCCATGGTGTGTTTGTCATTGCCCTTGCCTTTGGCGGTGGACTCCTGGGCCTGTGCCGACCCCCCTGAAACATCATCAAAGGGGAAAGGGAGGGATTTCAAAGAAGATGCCTTAGAGTAGCGCACTCAGCCATATACTGGTCAGTGAAGAATTGCCCCGGATAGGGACTTCGAAAAGGTTGAGACAACCCAAGTAGGTCCACTTTCTCCGCCACTAGGTGAGCCCCCTAGGTCCAAACCGGGGCAGAATGGATGTGGTATAATACCTATGCCTATACCAGCCACCACTAGGTCACGACCTGCACAAAACAATCTGTTTTAGAGAGGTCAGTGACTCTGATCAGTGAACACATGTCTACACCTACTGTACATGTCTGCCCTGGCCCGCCTGAGCTTGGCCAAGGCTTGGTTGATGGTGCCGAGGAAGAAACTGAAGACGATGAGGCCTGCGGCTGGTGGTCTTTGAAGAATGTGTCAAAAAGCTAAATAACAAAAACAATTGCCAAAAAAAGGTTGTTGGAGGTGCGCGGTTTGTCTTCTGTTGTTTGTTGTCGGTAGAAATCTAAACAGCTGCCTGACATAGTTGTCATATGTTGCAAGCATGAAACTTCAAGGGGGCAAGGTCAGGGATATGGTCCAAGGTTGGAGGGAGGGGTGGTTCCCCAAGCAGCTGGAATTGTTTCACGCAAGCCTTTGGTCCGCTATTCAGGTGTTGTTTTGCAGGGGGACAAAAGTACGACTGGGCTCAGCTGCAAAGTCTATATATAGGATGTGGTAGAAGTTCCTACAAGCAAACCCTACTGCTACGCCTGCTGCAAGTAGTTGCAGTTCTGTTTCAAGTATAAGAAGTAGGTAGGGGTAGGTAGGTAAGCAAGTAAGTAAGTAGGTAGGTAGGTAAGTAAGTAAGAAAGCAAGTAAGTAGTAAGTAAGTAAGTAATTAATTAAGTAAGTAAGTAGGTAGGTAAGTAAGTAAGTCAATCAGTCAGTCTGTCAGGCAGTAAGTAGTAAGTAAGTAAGTAAGTAAGGCAGGAAGGAAGGAAGGAAGGAAGGAGGGAAGCAAGCAAGCAAGGAAGTAAGGAAGTAAGTAAGTAAGTAGTGGTAGTAGTAGTCGTCGCGGCCGTCGCCGCCGTCGCCTCCTTAGTTACCTTCCAAAACCTTCCCAGTACCTCCCTGGTGCCACACTGTCCCACTCAAACCGGTTTCGTTGAAAAAACGTGCGCCTGCCAAGGTGACCACCACAGAGAAGACCCGCTCAAGCGGGTTGACAGCTACCTGGCAAGTGAAGTGGTGAAGACCCGCTGGACTCCGAAGAAAGCCAAAGCTGCCTGGCGATCCCTCATGAAACCAGTTGTATGATGTTATATGATGTTGTATGACTGTCCGGCCATGCTTGCCCCCAGAAACAGAAGCACATGCTTACCCATACCCTCCTGAGCCGCGATATGCCATTCTAATTTCATCCCCTGCCACCCTAGTCGGATTGCAATATATGTTGAAATGTTGTTTCCAATTAGGACCACCGTCTTGAGAGTAGCAGAATCTTCCAAGTTGAACCATCCGAAGACCTTTCGACGCAAGTAACGGCAACATTTAGTGCAACCGATTCGACTAGTCTATCCGAGAGTATTTGATCGATCAGAACACCAAATTCCGAAGTGCTCGCAGTTGTAAGGGCATCAAGCATTCTGTTGATGGAGAACCCATCCTGCACGACACTAGAACCATGGGTGTGAAACCCTCTTGGGCCCTTGGCTTTCCAAATGCCATTTGTAAGTCCTCTTCTTTCAGGTACTTTCAAGAAGCTACTAGTAACAAAGGGCATCGCTACGAACGGAGCAAGGACGCTACGAACGGGGCTCCTGGCCTTACTACGCACGGAGCAAGAAGCTACTAGCAACAAAGGGCTTGGTGTCTGCAAACACTGGTTTCCAAGTTGGAACCGACACTCGGTGTCGATCGACCGAAACGAGTCTTCAGAGTCTTCACCATACGACTTGGACTCCTGATCATCACACGACGCCCAAACGCAGGCAATTCACCATGGGTCTCAAAGCCAGAGGTTGGGTGCATATATATATATGTGTATATATATATGTATGTATGTATGTATGTATGTATGTATGTATGTATGTATGTAT